TAACTAATGCACTGCTTGCCTTTATGAATAATGCATATTTATTTAAACATTTTGTAAGATTATTTCATACTGACTAAAGGCCATCACTGGATGAACCAATGTCTGAGACCCTTGAGCCTAGAATTTGCTTAATGCCTTTTGTGGTTTTATCCAAACTTATTGGTACTAAAACATTTGGCTAGCTAAGATTGATTGCTCTTGTAGGAATTAAACATCTACTGGAAGCCGCACCATCTGTTATAATTATAAATGCGTACAGTTTGGAAATTATATTAAGCATTTACGAAGAAGTGTGCATAAAGTCTAATCTTTATTGGTTATGTATTGTCATGCTTTATAAACAAAAACTGGAATGCAAACATTGTTCGCATATTTTGTTAACAGTTGTCTGCAAATGAGTTTGTGGTTTTGGCCATGGCAGGGCAAGGCGGTACAAGAGAGCAAGTCCATTGAACGTTTGTTATATGCAGTAATCCAGTTCATAACCCAACGCACGATGATTCCTAAACAAATGCACAACGAAAAAATAAGACGGATAACTAAATAAAATAATATATTACATGAAGCCATGGTTCAATAGTCAGCACAATGCATTTGCAATTCGAAGAGTAGGTCGAAATACCGTGTAGAAGGGGAACTCATTCTTAGGGAGGGCCCTTCTGCCAGCAGTGGCATGAACAAGACATTTCAGGGCTGAACCTTTACCTTCAGACCTTTAAATAATACGCATGAGGCACTGACGTCATTTTTCAATTTGTTTTCCGAAAATAAACTGAAGAGGGCAAACATGGACCAAAACAAGTAGTTTGAAGCGAGTAAAGACAGCGCAGCAGCTCGGGACGTGGGTAGAGGCAGCAGAGGAATGTCCTTTACGATAGGCGACTGCCAAATGAACAGCAGAAGGCCTCTAGGAATGAGGGCAAATTTATATGCATGCATTGATGTTGAAATACTATATTTATACAGAGTATCCCCATTAATCTGTATATAGTATATCTTGTTTAGAGGGATGCTTTAGCTTCACCGGAAGGCATGAGGCTCTTGCAAGCTGTTAATTTGGCTCTGACATACCACACACACAAAAAAAAATTCTCCCCTGCTTTGACCATAAATACTCAAACTACAGCAAGAAGAATGAATCCTTGGCAAATTCCCAAATGCCTTTTCTGCCTCTGATGAAAAAACAGTGTCAATAATCTTAAGGGAATGGGTGGCTTCGTGGTCAAATCCCTTTATCAGGCATCTGAGACAGCTCATCTGTGACCTGGCTTCAAGTCTTCCCCGAAGGATAATGATTGCGTCTCATTCCACTCCTTATGGCTCTTTAAGGCGTTTCATGTCCAATGAGTTGTACAGGTCTCGTCGTCACCCTCGAATGCTATTCACAACAGTCGTCTTTTGAGATTCATCATGAGTTGATGAACTAATATGCGAGAGAATTGCAAAGATGCTGGGGATACAGTCCAGTGAGAACTGGCAATGTGAATGCTGTGCTCCATGGGGAAGAAAAAACACGCGTTTTAATGCATTAGCCCATCCACAATTTTAAACAAATACACACCTTATGGGTAAGAGTATGATTCCGTATTTTGCATCTATGCTAAAATTAAATGCATCCCGAGCTGTTTTAAAAACCAAAGTGACAAAGTGTAATACCCACGAGCAATAAACCAACAGTTTTATTCTTAGGACCTTGTTGTTAAAGGCCTCAGGCTGGAAATCACGTCAAAACATTTCAGCATCATTACTATACAGAAGTAAAAGTTTTGCCCTGAGGGTAAATATAGTAGAGATTTTGAAATGGAATGGTTACTGCAGAAGAAGAAAGGTATTTGATATTAGCTTTGATTTACAGTAGAAAAATGGACATGCATAAATGTGTCATGGATTTTCAAAAGGCTTTTGAATTTTTTTTATCAACAATTGATTCAATTGGCTGAATTCAACAGAAGTAGAGGCAATTTTTTTCATATGGTTACCATTTAATTGGACTTGACAATGTGTGAGGTAACAGTAGCTTCAGAGAAAATCGTAAAAAAAACATATCAACATTTCACGTTAGGATCAACATTCCAAAATACGAATCCACTAAATATTTAATAAAAGGCAGAGGTAGTGGTGCAGTGGTTAGCACACTGTGCTCCGGACCTGGCCACCTGAGTTGGCCTCCTGGCTATGGCTAATGTTAGTGGTCGGTGAAATATGAATTGGTCCTGGGCCTTGCACTTCACAATCCCATACTGTCCCGCATGGTGAAGTATGGTTAAACTAATCCCCAATGACTAACAGAGCTTGGGGAAGCTTAAATATATTATTATTATTGAAATAAAGTAAAGAAAGATTGTGAAAAGTATGATCTTCAAATATGGTCTTGCGCCATGTGAAGATAGCACAGAATAAGTATTTAGGTAGTACAGTGGAGAGGGTTATAAGCAAGAGATTAAGCTGATGCATTATGTTAGCAGAGTGGGGTTTTATGGACTGCATTAACCACATTGAAGGCATTGAAAGGTCAACGTTCATGTTAAGAGATTGGTGTTTGAGGCAGGAGTAATAAATGTAAAGTGTCAAGAGAACAGCTACACATCTAGCCCTTGAACATAGCTGCTCGTGTGGCCATGAGGGACAGTTTTGATTGTTGTAGGCCTTCATCCAGCAGTGGATATATCATGGCCGATGATGATGATGGTGGTGACATGGACAGGATACTACGTATTTCATGGCAGGATAGCATTTGCTCTATAAAAGCGTGACAGAAAAGCACTGTAGACATGATCAGGAGGAATAAAAGGAGGGAGTGATGGGTGGGACACGTATGCAGGATAGAGGGAGGCAGGATTACCGAGGGCAGGCATTGGAGTGGGAACCCAAAGGTCGGCCACCAAGGGGGAGACCTAAAGCCAAATTATGGGTTTCTGATAAGGGCATGATTTGGAGGTCGGGTGTCAATATTGTAAAAAGGTTGGAATCTGATAGAAGGCTGGAACGAATGACATGGTAAAGGTGCAGCCCTGCGATTTCTTACTCATGGAACTGCTGCCAGAAGAGCCTCCCCTCTAGTTCAGTATTTCACAAACTTTTTTGGCCCGAAGACCACCTCGCCGGCATGGAAATATTCGCGGACCACACAGCCCCGCCAATTCCTCGAGGCAAAACGCATTCACTAATCTCTAAATACCAGTAATACAAAGTGATTCATATTAATGGAACATAAAAAACGCAGCTATAAGATTTTTTTTTTTGGGGGGGGGGGCATTTAGATCTTTTGGTTAGAGTATTTTAATCAGGATAAGTTTACCTAACTTATTTTTTATTATTATCATAAGTAAAATATTAATGAATGTCCAAAACAATGGTATAAACATTGTTATTATTTCCGGATCAACCTGCATTGGATCAATGCCTCGCAGACCACCTGTGCCAACGGTGGTCCGGTGATGCATGCTCTGTTTGGTCAATTCAGCTTCATTGATGTGAAATGTGGATAAGCAAGAAAGCAGCAGAGAATCAAATGAACTATAAAAAAAAAATTGTGTTTTATATATATGTGTTAAATGCGTAGTGACATCGCGGGATGTCACTGTGTAGTGCCGGCCCGAGAGGGGCATGGCGTGCGGTGTAGCGACATCGCGGACACCACTATGGTGTGGGTGTAGTACCGGCCCTAGAGGGGCCTGGTGAACTCTAGATGGCACCACGCTTGGCGTGCAGTGCCAGCCCCTACAGGATAGAGGGTGGGAGTGCCAGCTGTAGGAATGAGGTTACTAAAGGCCATGGCACTCTGGTTGATCCGAGAGGACACGTGACCAGTTAAGTCTACAAAGGGGCCCCAAGTGGGGGCTAGGGGTGGTCACGTGGTCCGGGTCCAGATCCTGCTCGAGGATTCTGGAAGGTGGTCGTGGCCAAGGGCGGAGCCAGCCACACCGTAGAGAATATAAGCCGGGTCCTCCAGAGGGGCCAGCATTGTTGTTCATCCTGAATAAACCTTCATCTACGTTCAACATTCTCCGAGTCTCCAACACGTGGACCTGGACCCAAGCTGTTGTCCCTGTCCAAAGTAGCTAGCTACGTCGTAATTAGTGTAGTTAGCCTGGTGGTCACCACCATAGGTTGTTATTCTGTTAAGGGGCAGTTACCCCGTGTGTTGGTGCTAAATAAGTGTGTTGCCTCCAAGTGTACGTCTGCGACTCAGTTGAACTCACTACAAATGTATATAGCTTAGATCAGGGGTCGGCAACCTACGGCTCCGGAGCCGCATGCGGCTCTTTACGGGCTACTTCTTGACGATATGTACAGTATGTACTCAGATGCATTGCGGCTCTTGAAATACTGAATTTTGTACCGAATTGGAAAGAAATGGCTCTTCTTGTTATTTTGGTTGCCGACCCCTGGCTTAGATAGTGCTGAACCAACACGTTAACTGACACTGCAGTGTTATGTATTATACATGAATAACGTGAATGATTGAGTTTTGTGATGAAAAGTAAAACAAACATTTTCTCGGCATACAGGATATCATAGGTAGCTTCTGGAATTCCTTCTTCGTGGGACATCGAAAGGAACGAAATAGAAAAATAGAAAATATCAGCCAATAAACTAACTTTTCACAAATATGCGGAGATCCACAAGCGATTACGAGCTGCAAGGACAAGAAGTGCTGACACCGCACGATCGTTCACTTCAGCAGTGGAGAAGCGTGGCATCCTCCTGGCTGTTTGGTTTGAAATTAAATCCATTCAGCTTGATAAAACACCCGCTTTTTGGTCATCGCAAAGACATTCTGGGAGACACGATGTGATAATTTAACTGACTGTTCTAAAAAGAGACTGTGATATTCGCGCACACGTTACAATTAACGCCATAAATAAAATAATAACGTAAAAATATTATAAAAAAAAAGTGTCACAAGAGCAAAAAAATAAATAATTGCACGATCGGGTTCCAACAGTCGTAACGCTGAAGCGGGATTATAAGTGACAGAAAGTGGTGTCAAATCTTACCCAAAACACTGCTGTTGCTTGGGGAGCCGAGTTCCCCACAGGGTCTTCCTGAGGAGCTGTCGCAGACTGAGGCGGCATCCTGTGGGAAACAACAACACAGTGCAGAGAGGGGAACAGCTCAGAACACTTGAGGCTACATTTCCGCTCACTTAGCAAGTTCTAAGAAAACAATATTCATCATGCAGTATGTAGCTAAAGCATTTCAAAAAAACTCCTCCCGCAACATACGTGAGTTTGAAAAGGCAGCAACTATGTATGCTGATGAATGCTAGAAAGTGCATTACGCCACGACCTATTAATGTGTTTTTTTTCTTAGATCATCAATATCAACCATGGGCAACTCACTGATGAGGACTTCATGAAGCTGCTCCATCATCTCTCACAATCCTGCGAAGTAATAATAATCCGCCCGGCAACCGAATAAAATCTTATTTCATTGTTCAATCTCCTCAACTAACGTCCTTGGTTGTATTCTACCATTATGTGTGCAGGTAATATTTTTGTATTTATATTTTAAAAAATACAGTTTAAACTGCTTCGGATACTGTCATCGAACGTTATGTGTGGGCATCACACCCACGATGTCAGGTTTGTAACATATATAGTCATTTACAGACCTCTGTCAATCCACTGCTGGATGAAGGCCTCCCAATGCCTGTTGGTCATCGGGGTTGTTTGCCCATACTTCACCATGCTGGTCAGTGCAAGTTGTGCCGATTGGGGAATCGACGAGGAGCAGATCACATATTACACGCCCCTGATGTTAACCGTGGCTTGATTTAAAAAAACAAGTCGGCGGGTTCATAATGCAATGCTCCAAACCTGCTCCTCCCCTGTATGTATACGTGTACATGTACAGCCCTTTGTCAATCCACTGCTGGATGAGAGCCACAGGTTCATGGGGCTATTATACTTCAAAATGCTGGGCAGTGTGTGTTGGTGAAGTCGTGGAGGGTTAATGCGGGAGCATATGAGTACAGCTCCACGGTTGACTTTTGCTACACTCCACTCTGTGGCCTATCTCATGGTCTTGCCTCCTATAACACCTTTTATGCATGGTGGTCACCCAAATCCAAGCACCATCGAGGCACAACCCTGCTGAGCTTCACAGATCTGGAAATTCCGGGCACATTCCGGCAATTTGTTCAGGGGCATACATATACGCACTGTACATAATTTGAAAAATGAGAGTATAATTTTAAACATGTGTTTCACAGCATCAGGTGTGCACCCCCCATTATGTCAGGATCGAGTTTGCTGGATGTTTCTCAACATCATCACCTTAGCATCCTCTGCACCGTGATCCTCTGCACCATACTCTCACTTGAACTAATGTAATCATGCATGTGTGCTGAAACACCTGCACACAGCCGTGCACTTTTTGGCGAAACATTTTCCATTTGGCTGTCCAGTTTCTGAACTTGCTCTGCATGCAATTAAATGCTATTTTTACCGTAAGTTTATGCCACATTAACTGTTCATGCTTGGAAAGCAAGCAGCCACTGCAGTACATTAAACAAGAAAATGGCTAAATAAAAACATATCAGCACCATGTTTATATCATGGCCCGATGAAAACATTTATTTGGAAAGGGAATGTTTTCAAAACTTCATGAAACAAGAATGTGCTTTCAAATTTGTGGTAACTTGGTACATTAATTTAGAATAACAATTTTGTTTAGCCTTTTGTCAATCCACTGATGGATGGAGACCTCCCCAAAATCACGTCAATTATTGGGGTTGTTCAGCCACACTGCACGATGTTGGTCAAGAGTGGGTTTGTGAAGAGATGAGGGCCGATGACTGGTTCAATATCACTTGCCACTGATGTTAGCCATCGTCAAACAATCTAACTCAGGTCACTAGGTTCATAGCACAGCATATGACCCACTTTGCAACTGGAAAATAGTGTATATATATAATATCAAATTATAAAACCAATCATAACCTATGCAATCTTCCAAAACAGCGGGTGCTTAATTAATACCAAAATTGCCAAAGTGTGCTTGACATTTCTTCCAGTTGCCCTTCTCAAGGGGGGGAGGAAGATGTATCACCGGATCTGTCGACCTCTTACATTTTCAATTCTCAGTGTAATTTATTTTTAAAAACTATGATGAAATAACAGACATAGTTACCGACTACCCTGCTCCCCCCTAAGACATATGCTATCCTCATCATACAAGACATTAAAAACACTGACCTAATTCTGCTGATATAGAGAATATGGTTTTAAACCATACGCAGCTTAAATCCTGCCCCAAAAAATTCTGATATCCAGCATTTATTTTAATGTAAACAGTATGTATTAAAGAACATGTCTGAATGTAAAAAAATACAGTAATACTGTAAGCCTTGGGGCCACGAGACCTACAGCATGCTGCCCCTGCTTTATAATTAAAGTAAGCTCAGCTGGCAGAAAGAAGGGACAGCTGCAAACTAATTAAATCCACTTTTTGACATGCCCATTATGTGCTTTTGTACGAGCAATGTGGCCCCAAGAGAATGCTTGTGCACATCACCTGAAAGTTGAGTGGCATGACCTGCGACTGGATGGAATCTCGCCAATCTATATATATAAAATCGTTCATGTCTGTGTGTCTGTGTGTGTGTGTGTGGACTGCACTTTCATTGGACGGCGGTTGCCCCTGGCAACGGCTAGCCACGCCTTCGCCGCTTTCATTGGACGGCGGTTGCCCCTGGCAACGAGTAGCAACTTTTCTCCGCGGGGTGGACGCCATTTTTAATAGCGCGGGGGGGGGGGGGGGACCGGCACCCGTACCCAGCGTTCGCCGGGTGCGAAAATCAGGCAAGGCGGGAGGCTCTGCACGGTGCTAGGCCTCGACACCCAACACGCCACTCTGAGGTAAATTCATACAAATTTCACGTCCTCTACAGAGTGGCGAGGGAGGCAGAGTGGCGAGGGAGGCAGAGTGGCGAGGGAGGGACTCAGCCTCAAAACGAGTAACTGGTGTGGCGTATTAACATCGCCACTGGGGAGACAAAGGCGGCCGGGCGTGGTGGATACAAGTCCCGGGCAAAGCCGGGTCATGACTATGTGTGTATGTGTTTATGTGTATGTCTGTGTGTCTGTATGTATGTGTGTATGTATGTGTCTGTATGTGTTTGTGTGTATGTATGTGTGTGTCTGTATGTATGTGTGTGTGTATTGTGTATGTGTTTGTGTGTATGTATGTGTGTGTTTGTATGTATGTGTATGTTTGTGTGTATGCATGTGTGTGTATGTGTTTGTGTGTATGTGCGGTTATGTATGTGTGTGTATGTGTGTGTCTGCAGCAAGCGCGTGTATGTGTACCTATGGACGCGCGCGCGTGTGTTGTGTAGGGGGAACGGTAGTGTAGTGCTTAGCGTACTGCCTGTGTCTATGTGTGTGTGTGTGTGTCTGTGTGTGTGTGTCTGTGTGTGTGTGTCTGTGTGTGTGTGTCTGTGTGTGTGTCTGTGTGTGTGTGGTGTGTGGGGAGCGGTAGTGTAGTGGTTAGCGTGCTGTCTGTGTGTCTGTGTGTGTGTGTCTGTCTGTGTGTGTGTTCTGTGTGTGTGTCTGCGTGTGTGGTGTGTGGGGAGCGGTAGTGTAGTGGTTAGCGTGCTGTCTTTGTGTCTGTCTGTGTCTGTCTGTGTGTTTCTGCGTCTGTCTGTGTGTGTGTGCGTCTGTGTGTGTGAGGAGCGGTGGGTGTAGTGGTTAACGCTACGCTGCGCTACCAACCCGGCGAACCGAGTTAGATTCCCGCTCATGGCCACCACCGATCAAGATTATTTGAACCTCACATAGGTCGACTCAGCCTCAAACGAGTAACTGGTGTGGCGTATTAACATCGCCACTGGGGAGACAAAGGCGGCCGGCCGTGGTGGATACAAGTCCCGGGCGAAGCCGGGTAGTACAGCTAGTAATAATTTATTTTGCGATGAACCAACTGCACTGCCAGACCCATGATCAGTAAAAATGGCCACATCGCTAGTTGCACCTTTGTTGCAGCTGTAATAATAATAATAATAATTAAATAAATGAAGGTGAAATATTAAGGTTGCTCTTTATTAATTAATGAAGTATGTCAGATGCATATATTTCCTTAACTAGCAAGTACATACAAACAAGTATATACAATTATACTGGTAGGAACCTCTTGGTTACACCAGCCCACAGGGGATTATTGTGTCCGTCCGTCGTGCAGGGAGGGGCTGGGTGGGGAGGGTGGGGCTGGGTGGGGGGTGGGAGGGGTGGGGCTGGGTGGGGAGGGGCTGGTCACCCCGTCGTGCCCTTATAAAACTCAACGTTTAACCTACTCACGCCGGCTTGTGCCCGCCCTCACAGTCGGGCATATTTGCGGAATACACCACGCCGCCGTTGACCCTGCAGGCCATTGACCGAGCAACCCAACGTTCCTACCAGCTCCCTCTGCAGGAATGTGTTTTTTCGGGTCTTTCGGTAAAGTCACGTAGGTAGATTTTTTTTCTATCTACGTGACTTTACCGAAAGACCCAAAGAGTATGAATTCCTACCGTCACGAAAGCTTTAAGTAAAGATACAATTATGTGTTAACTATAAACATTGCCATGGTGGCTATAATACTTTTCAGAAATTAAAGCAATAAAAAAACTTTGATTAACAATATTAAAAACCAAATACATTCTACAGATATTACAATCATGATTCAGTGCACACCATATACTGTTTTTTCATTTGTCTGCATGCATCATGTTTTGATATAACATATTTGTTTTAATATTCCTCTGTGAAGTGGCTTTTTGTTGTAATTAACTCAAGACTGAACATCAATTTATCCTGCGGTCCTACGATAATAGACAAAATGGAACGGAAATCAATTTGTGGTGTGTGCCTGTTAATTGCGCATATGAAATGATGTCCCTCGAATTACTCAGTGCGCGGACAAGTGAGCGGCACTTTAAGCTATTAATAAAAGCGGGCGTCTCTTGCTGGCGTTGGACACTTACGAAACATTGTTCTGGAGCAACGACCCACGACTGACCCCAGCTGTTATGACAGCGCGAGCGAAGTCACCCTTATGTAATGAGGCCTCAAGGGATAGTAGCAATCAACACCGCGAACGGGGTTTCTGGATGCTGTTAAAACCTTGGGTGCAAACTCGGTAACGAGCACGCAATCTTGCTTATGATTGCACCTTCCACTCGGCACACAATGGTGGGTGCTAATCCCAATACAAGATTTAAACACAAAAAAACACGATTATTGCTTCACCGAATGTCAAACTGCAGTTGCATGGCATTAATGTTTGAACATGTTGTTACAGAAAAACGTTAATATTACAAACCAATTATCACATCACAATCGCAGCCTTACGCTACAGTGTTTGCGGAAGGAAAAGATGCCTATTGGCAGTTTAAGGGCTGTTTAATAATACGATGGTTAGAGGTTGTTAATACTTTATTTCACACGTGAATAAAACTGAAACGGGAAAACTGTTAAGATGCACTCGTAACATTGTGTCAACCTAATGGTCTCCTAAACGGAGACACGGCTACCGTGGGTCCTCCAAGGTGTCAGTTTAAATCCAGCACATAATAACGCACCTCTTGGGTCCAGCCACCCCGATCGTCCGAGCCCCTGAAAATAAGCTTGCCCTAATTAACTGGTGCTCGTCTATTTGGCAGCCAGCTCCCTGAGCCGCAGTTTAATACGTACAATGGCTATAAGCTCATCTGGCTCAGTGTCCATATGAGCGTCTTGCTATGCAACTTAAAAGCGCTTTTGGTTTGTTTCGTTCACTCAGTGGCATTACAAATTCTGTATTAATACAACTTAGCTGGAACTCAATTAGTACGACGTTGCGTTGAGTTGTGACAGATATACAGCCTATGACAAGAAATGATTTGGTTTTGTGGCTGAGGGCATAGCTCTTTGAGACCAAAGCTGCTCGCATGAACAAAGGCTGTGTCTTCAATCTCTCGCGTTGGGATTATTTTATTCTTGGCATTAGTTTTTTTTTCAGCCCTAAGGACTCAGAACATTAGTCCAAATATAAGTGTATAAATGTCATCATTATTAATCCTTGACAGTAAGCTTCAGAAAAAAAAGACAAGGTACAGTGGTGTAGCACCCAGAAGTTTGCTTGATGCACTGCAAAAAGGGGTACATTCCCGGGGTCCTTGACCAAATCACGCCAACCAGTTACCAAAGCGATCTTGATTCATAATTCATTTTCAGGTCAGATTGCGTAAGTAGAATGTGTGTCGTAAACCCTCCTCCACCTGACGCAGCCGATTCATAAATTGTCACACGATGAACAAATGTGGCAATTTCAATACTGCTTCAGCACACCGTGTGTGTTGGAGGGCACTCGACAACATTTAACAATTGGATAACGACATTTCGCTGATACTTACAACCAGCATCTTCAGGCATTCGTCAGAATTAAGAAAAAGGAGGCGGATTTACGGCACACGCATAATACGGCACACGCATAATACGGCACACGCATAATACGGCACACGCATAATACGGCACACGCATAATACGGCACACGCATAATACGGCACACGCATAATACGGCACACGCATAATACGGCACACGCATAATGGGGCGGTGCGCCACAAATTATGCGCAACTTTAAATAAATATAGACAACACGTTCTACTTAATTAAATATACTTTTTGATGAACAAAAAATCCTACAACATCTGAGTGCAGCGGCACATTAAATACGCACTACGAATTGAAGCATGTTTAATTTTTTTTTGGGGGGGGGGGGGCAGAGCTTTGCGACGTAATCTTTGGGGGGGGGTCTGACTTTTTGTGACGTCGTGTGACGAGGGAGGGGGGGGTCAAAAATCGTCCAAAATCGCGTGACGTCATTTATGGACGCCGCCTAAAAGAGAACGCTCGTTGAAGCACAGTGGCATCGATTCACCTTCCGTATTGGACAGAGGTCCAGCCCTAAGGTTGTTGGTAATGGTTAGGTGATTGGTATGATGTCTTGCTCTCTATTATAGAAATTGAGGGGAGGACAACCATTATTTAACCCAGCATCATCGACGCCTCTGTTTACACACGTGTGAGTGAATGCTCTGAAACGATGACTCTGAGGGTTTCGAGGAACATCGCGTCGTTTTAATTTGTGGGCTAAATTCTAAGCCTCATCAACTTATCCACAACTCAGGCTTCTTGAAAATAGCAAAGAACACGGCAGTGCTAATCAGACGAGGCCAAGTTATTTCATTGTGGGTCCTAAATCAATGCTTAACTGAAGTACCACGCACGTTATGTTTCAGCAATAAATCAGTTTGGCATTAATTAGGCCAGGTGAGAGACAAAACATTTATGCGAAGATCAGAGGTAACTGTAAAGCAAATAAATAAGTGCGAGCGTAACATATGCAGTTATGCACATCATCAACAAAACCGCATCCAAGGATAGTGGATGACCCTATTACAAATTGCGTGCATTTAAAGATATGTTATCTAAACAATAACTTTAAATAGCATTATATTTATAGAGCACGAGGTTAATGATTACACTACTATATTAAATCACATTGTATTTCCACACCGATACATTCCTCCTGCCAAACGGCATACACACGGCACGTGCTCACGACCATCCTATGAACGACTCAACTCACAGATCAAAGCATAGGATTCCCAATATTTTTTAACAGCACACAATGTGAGATGCCTTCCTTACGCCGTATTGACTAACGTTTACTCGGAAATACTTACTTTGTTTTTAACCTAATTAACACAAAGGCAATTACACATGTTTACATAGCTATATAGGTGAAACAGCATTGCACGAAACATTCTCATACAATACATTCAGGCCTACAAACACGGTGAATTCTTGCTCCATCTCCTTCCTTGTCACCACCGTCATC